GCCTTGCCCACCAGACTCCCTCATCTGGGTCCGAGCGCCGGCTTATTTCGTGGGCATACCCACCGCGGTTTCGCGCCCTCATACGGGCGTGAAGACAAGTAGTAGTAACAAAACCTGCACCCACTCCTCCCGCGCAATCCCCTGACTCAACATGTTGTGCTTATATGCGGGAATGAACTCCTCCACGTTCCCCTCCTCCAATCGAATGGGCATGTCATCGTGCCCCCTAGGGGAAGCTCTCAACCTCTGCATCCCGGCTTCCACGTCCGGCCAAGTCAGGGCCTCCTCACATATCTAAGCGACAAGCTCCTCAAACCGCCCTATGCCCCTCAAGTGGTGGATCCTCTCCGCCACTGACCACCCTCTCTGTGCTGCATATACGTCCAGGAAAAGCTCTATGTTATCATCGTCGAACTGAGGCGTAGGCTCCCTCCTAGGCGGCTCGTGCTGCTCGCCTCTCCCCGCTGCCCCCTGGGGTCCCTGCTGTGGCCGTGCGTCCCTCACGCCCCTCTGCGTGACTGCCTTCGAAAAGTTAGACCTGGACAACAGGCGAGAGACAGCAAACAGGCACACAGCAGGGTCAGCAATTGAGCCCATTTGCTCGGGGAGATCGCACATACACTCCACACCCATTCATCCCAATCACCCACCTATCTAATCATCTGACAAGGGTAGTACCTAGGCGAGACTCTATTCCTAACGAGGTCTCATGGTCCCTTACCTATTCCCTGGCCACAAACTTCTTCAGCCTCGTCCCTGATACCCAATCCTGCCACCCGGCCCCATCCAGCTCTTCAATTTGGTAGGCCCCAAACTCGCCTCATCGCATGATCCTATAGGGTCCCAGCCATCGCTTGTCGAGCTTCCTAGACCATTGCTTTTCCAGCGAGGAGTCATATAGCAGTACCACGTCTCTAACCTTCAACGGATCCTTCCTTATTTGGGCTATCTGGTCCCATCTCATCTTGTCTTCCATACGACTTCTCTCTACCTGACCAGCGGCTTCTCGTAACCTTTCCTCAGCGGCTCCCACCTGCCGCGCCCGTATATCGAGCAACTCTTCAAAAGACAGGTTCACTTCCAGGTCTTGGCGCCTCCACGTCTTCATGAAGCTTTCTATGGGAAAGGTGGCATGCCTTCCGTACCATAGAGAGGCCGGCGCATACTTGGTAGTCCTTTTCACTGTAACATTTTCCACGAAGAATGTTGCTCTCAGTAACTTCGGCCACTGGTTAGGCCTCCCCTCAGTCCATTTGGCCAGAAGATTCGTAATGGTGCTATGCCCCCTCTCCACAGGAGCGTTTGCCTGGGGGTGTGCGGCAGTAGTATAATTTGCTACCACGCCATACCCTGCGAGTAAGGTCCGCACCTCGTTACAGGTGAATTCAGACCCCCGGTCCATCACAAATTCTCTGACAAACGGATAGCGCAGGTAGTAATCTTCGATGCACCTTGCTAAAACCGGGCCAGTCTTTGTGCGAATAGCCCGGCCGTCCACGAACCCGGTAAGGTTGTCCCGTGCATCGAAGATATAGTTACTTCCATCCTCCCCGAGTGGCATAAACAACAGGTCCAGGTGTACGACTGCGCCCACTTCCCTTTCCAACCTGGGGCGCAAAGGCTCCCCAGGCCTTTGCGCTGACCTCTGCTGGCAAGGTACACAGGACTGGCAGTACTTGATGACCATAGTCAGCATTCCGTCCCAATGGTATAGCTCGCTTATCTTTGCGCACGTGGCACTAACCCCTTTGTGCCCCCCTGCTATACCATCGTGTAGGGCTGCTATAACATCGATCTGCCGGTTCCTCCCACATACGATCCTCTTGGGGTTTCCAACCTGTCGCTTTATAAACAGATGACCATCTCTTACTACGTAGAGATGCCTCATCTTCTGGGCTTTAGCACTTGCCTCCCTATCCCTTATCTCACATGACAGGAGTAACCCCAATTCCCGATAGATCCCGTCATACTCCTCAGCGCGGAAGGCCTCCCTGATCTCTCCCTCTTCGAACTCGTCGTCCTGGCTTTCAGGAATGAGAAGTTCGCTCTCCTCAGGGCCGGTCGAACTCCTCTGATTAAAATTCCCCTGCAGGAGCGTATTAGTGAGCAAATACATCCCTCCCATTAATTGCTCATGCTCCTCTACCTGGGTTGGCCCTTCCTCTACTGTCCTCACCTCTTCCGCCAGACTGTGTGTGCCCGCCAATGCCAACTTCATCATCCAGCCAACATCCCTACTCTCCCACGGATCTTCCTCCTGGAAAGGCTTGAGGACCAACTCCTCCTTTCGCTCGTACCCCCTTGGTGCTAGTCATATAGGATGCGTGACGCAGCTGGGCACCCTCAACGACCACTTATTTATGTGGAGGCGGACGTCCTCCTCCTGATCCAAGAACCCGTCAACTGGTGGGGTATCCTCAATTGACTCCTGGCTCGCCCCGTCCCAGTTGATACGGCTCAGCCCATCCGCCCTGTTCTTGTCCCCTTGGAATCCTCTCCAACTCAACGTTAAACATCCAAATATAAGTCAACCATCTCGCGATGGTTGGGTCAGATGGAGTATAACTTTTCAGGGAACACGCAAGCGCAGTAGGGTCCACCCTCAAGATGAGCCTCCTGCCAAAAATATAGTTCCCGAAGGTCCTCAGGCAGTGGAGTACCGCCAGCGTCTCCTTTTTAAACTGAGAGTAATTCCTCTCAGTCGTATTGAGGGTACGACTTTCAAACCTTAGCGGCCTCTCCTTCCCATCCGTACCTGCCTGAATCAGGACCCCTCCCAAGGCAGTTGGCCCAGCGTCCGTCTCGACAACGAATGGCTTTTCCTCCGTAGCCTCATAGTTTGGCGCTCCCAACACTAAGCCTCCTTCCTTGAATTCTCCCTTCATCCTCTCCACAGCCTTTTCCTGGTCCTCGCCCCAGACCCATTCCTGATTCTGACGCACCAGCTTCCTCAAATGCTTCGTCTTGGTGGCGAAGTCCTTCACAAAACTCCTCCAAAACCCGCAGGTCCCAAGGAAGCTCCTCACGTCCGTTATCGACTGGAAGGGGACTGACCACTCTAGGATCTTGTCTGTCTTCTTCACATCTGGCCTCCACCCCTTCTCGTTGCAGACAAAGCCCAGAATCATGGCCTCCCTCATACAATGCTTCGACTTGGGGGCGCTCGCCGTCAGGTTGTATTCTTCCAGCAGACCCAGAACCTGATCAATATCTTGGATGTGCCTCCAAACGAATCGCCTCACCGCTGGCATCACTTCGTCTTCCTCCTTCTCCTTTGGACCCTTGACCGCCAGATCGTCAATGTAGGGCTGGGTAATATGTGGACTAATCGTCTGCATGGCCCTAATCATGTGCCTTTGCACCATCGCCACCACATTAGTCCACCCCTGAGGGGCCACGTTCATGTGGATTAGTCCCCTTGGCGTATGCATCGCCGTCACCGGCCTATCTGGCGGGTACACAGGAAACTGGTCATACCCAGAATAAAGGTCTATAAGTGAGATTATAGGCCTCCCTGCGCATGACTCTGACAGGGCGTCCGCGTTCGGCAATCCTCCCGCGTCCCGCACCGTCACTGCATTCAATCGTTGCAAATCCTGCACCCACTGTAGCGTTCCGTTCGGCTTGATAAAACAAAACCAAGGGGAGACATACGGTCCACTGGAATAGACTAATAATATGTCCGCATCTTCCCGTCCAGGTAGTCCACCACCTTCTTCTCTTCATCTGGATTCAGGTATCGCGCGCCCCTCAGGTTCCACAGCTCATGTGGGACGGTATGTATTCGTATCATTGAAATCTTATCCACGTCCAACCTCCCACGCTCGTCGTCATTAAACGCATACGCGCAATGCCTCCTCTTTGTGGTCTCCACCATCAAGGTCCTCTCCTGGGGTGAAAGGAAGCCAGGCTCGCCAATTATCAGCCCTTCCTCATTCTCATTATTGATGCGGCATGACCCTGCCTGCGCGCGCTCCCGCATACTCCTTATCAACCCTCGCTCCCGCTCATAATAGGCTTCCTCATCCTCCGTGACAAGCACGGGGACTGGGCGACACTTCTTATCTACGGTCTTGTACCGCCTTTGGGAGCCCTGCTTAAGCCCTCTCCTAAAAAAGGCTGACTTGTCGTTTGGGCCTGGGCCATCGCAGGGTCCCCTTTCCTCCCGAGAAGCCGATAGATCAGCTCCACTTCTCCCACCTGAGGGTTTTCCAGGACCTGCTCCCTCAATGCCTTTATAGCTTCAGGGTCCGCCATATCATGTGCCACCACCACCTCCATTGCCTTATTCACGTCGTTAAGGCTGAGCGACAATACCTCGCCCGCTCCTTCTTCCTCTTGTTCCTCCCGGAGTTTTCGTCGTGCGTACTCAGACTCCTCGAAGGTGAATGAGCCGAGGTTGAGTCTGTTCCTCGCACTTCCGGGCCTTGTGTTCCAGCACTTAATAATTTCGTAATTCCCACAGGCCGGATCGGATAGAGCCAGGATCATCGTCCCCTCATGCCTGTTGAAGACCAAGGTCTCTGTTCGGCAGAGGAACGACCTGCCCAGAAAGATAGGGTGGTCGACATCGGGTATGACGAAGAAGCACGTTCGCGCCCTTACCCTCCCGATCTCCACTATCACATTAGACGCGGTGCCGCAGAAAATGGCCTTGCAGTTGGTGCCACGCAGCACACCATGGTCCGAATGGTTAACCTCCAGCCCTAACATGGTCGCGTCCCGCTCCCGTATGATATTCATCTCAGCGCTCGTGTCCACCATTGCGATGCTCGGCTGGTCTCTCACCTTCAGATCCACCAACCCACATGCCACACATTTCCAGTCCATCCTGGTGCCCGCCTCTGTCCACTCTATCTCCCTGGGTAGAGTTGCGCTCAGGTGGACGTTGGGGACTAACCTCCGCGAGAGCCGCCCTTTCAGCTCACCACGGAGCCTTGGTGCCGACGCCAGGATGTCTTTTAGATTCATCAAATCGTTGTGGCCCTCCAGGAGCTTATCCACCATTTGCTCCACGTCAAAACCTTCCTCTAGCCGGACCGCGTACTTCTTCCTTTTCGGCACGCCATCGTGCAGGCTCGGCTCCGCCCCTCCCTGAATCCCTCTCTTCTTAGCCCTCTGCTCAGCTCGCCGATCTTCTTCCTGGCGGAGCCTCTCATCCTCTTCGTCATCACCCTCATCTTCCTCTTCTTGAACCTCTACCACTTCTTTCCTTCGTTCAGGCTCAGGGTCCTTTCGAGGAGGCACCCGACCAGGTGCCTGGCTGGGCCCTTGACTAGCGGTAGCCTTACTTTGGCCCCTAGTCTGCGCGACCTGTGGTACCCTCCCATGCGACATAGGGGGTCTAAAGGTCATCCCTGACCTAGGACCTGCCCCGGCCGTTGCCACACTTGGACACCCTTGTGGCCCTGATGATGACTCCGGGCCGGACCCATAGAGCATTACCTCAGGAAGGTTCATTTCCCACTCTCGGGCCTCTTCGCACATCACCCTTAATCGTTCCTGGTACCTTCCCACCTTCGCAAGCAGGTCCTCCATCCTTTCCAGGATGGTCAAGGCCTACTCTCTTACCACCTCCTGCGTCTCATCGTCCAACTCAACAACTATAGGCTCCTCCTTTATAGTCCCTGCCTTCAGTTGTTGAGTCACTTCCTCGCTCTCATCCACAATCTCTTCGACCCTCACACTCGGATCCTCCCTCGCCTGCCATATCCTAAACATCGCTGGGGCTGCTGGACCCTCTTGAGCGCCTCCTGCCTGATTCCTCCCGGGGTCCTGGGGTCAATATGCGTCCCCCACTTGTCGTATTTGTCCCCATCCATGCATGAGGAGATCAACCCTGCCAGCTCGTCATCTCGCCGCTGTTGGCAAAACCGTATAGTGTGGCCTACCTCGCCACAATGCCAGCAAGTTGCATTCCGCCAATCGAAGCGGGGCCTCCCGTACCCTTGGCCCCCTCCTTGGCCGCCTTGGCCACCTTGGTTCTGGCCCCCCTGACCACTCCAACCTCCTCCACGACCTCCACCATTTCCTCCTCGCCCCTGGCCGCCCCCTCCTCTACCCCCTTGGCCCCGGCCCCCATTACCTTGCCCGCCTTGTCCTTGGCCCCCTCCCCCGGCCACACTAGCTTGCGAGGCCTGTTGGGAGGGCGGCAGTTGGGCCCCAGGCTGGCCTTGAGTCGATGGGTAGCTCGGGGGGGCCATACTTGCTGATGGGCCCGAGTAGGGGACCATGTGTCCCGTGTGGGCTTGACTCCGTCCACACGAGACACAGTGGTTGCAACTGGGCCAGGGCGCGGACCGACAATGTTGCACCCAATGCCCACAAGCTGGTGGCGGCCCCATTTGCGATGGTCCTGCTGGCGCTGGCACGGCCGCGGCGACAGGCAGTGGTGCGACAATGGCCTGGGGAGCCTGCCCCTTCCCTGACCCCTGCCCTCCCTGCAGCAGATTGCGCTGCTTCCTCTGGGCCTTAGTCAGGACTTGGGAACCCGTCTCCCCTCCGCCATAGTCTTCTTGCCCAGCCTCCTCATCCACTGCCCCTGACGCCCGGCCTTGGGCCACTAGCACCCCTCTTTTCTGTATCTCTGCTTCGTTATCATACCCCAATGTCGCCAACACGTCCGTGACGATCCTTTTCACCCGTGGGGTCCCGGATGCAGTAGCATCCCTCTCCTTCCTCTTGCGCCTTTGCAACCTCATTTGGTGCTGCTCCACCTGGTCCACGCTCCCTTCTTCCACTCCCTTGTCAATGGTCGCCCAGGTGAGCCTCTCGCTCCCTTCCCCATACTTGGTCAGCTCTGTGGCCTCCGAGCCCGTAAGCAGCCCCAAAAATGTGGCACACTGTGCCTCTTCAGAAATCTTGTGCACCTTTCTCGCTTTTTTCTTAAACTCGTGCACGAACGCCCCAATGGTAGAGAAGTCTTCCTTATTCATGGCCTCCAAGTCGGCCATGGTCAACAGGTCGTCCCCCAGCCTGTACTTCCTCCTCGTTAGGTCCCCGAACTTTGTCCAGCTGCCACCGACGACATCCACGACCTTAGTTACTTCCGGATGATGACTATGCAGGACGTACCTCAGGACCCGCTGCAGCTTGACCTCGTCTGACAGCCCTACCAGCGCCTGCTCTGTCAGATCCAACTAGTCAGATACCCGATCCCCCTTGAAGTGAAATGTCTCGACCTTCGGGACATTGCTCGGCGCCCTCTTGCGCTTGTCCAGGGCATCGATGAGGTTGTCGAGAGTCACAAGCCTCCTCCCACCGTCCGCCATCTCCTCTGGCATTTTGACCAATCGCCTTCGGCTTCAAACTCCCTGTTATAAGAAACGATAGGACGAAAAACTCCACTCAGTGAATCGATCCTTCACGACCCTATCGGGTTAACCCCTCAAGCATCCGAAGCTCTAGACCTGACAGACATTTCTCTTCTCATTCTCCCTTAGGCATGCCTAGACAAGGCCTACCCCTACCATAAAATCTCCTCGCACATTTGCCTTATTCAAGCCGTCACTCAAGCCGCCAATCAATCAATCATTTAACCCATAATCATGTAGATCACCCCACAATCCATCTCCCAGTCTTTCCCTTATCCACTCATATGCCTGGTTCTCCCTCACTCCCATACCCGGATGTCGTTCCACCAGGGACAACGGTAGGCTTCCGTTATCCCCGGCAACG